TTTGAGTGGTCGAACATACGACAGTTCGAACAATAAAAAGGAAAAGACTCGATCACTACATGTTGTCAATATTCATGGTGTTGTTGTGCCCAACCAAATCTCTTCAGAAGCGGATAAAGTGATGTCTCCTCTTCTGAAGCGGATAAAGTGATGTCTCTTTCAACAAGTACGCTGGCTTCAGATGGGCGGGAAAGATTGAAAGTAGGATTGTTCTTTTTAACTGGCTTGTCATAAGCTGATGCAATAGAGTACAACACTTTTTGAGTGAAATAGTGAAATTTCAAACCAGGGAGGCGAATCCAAACCAGAATGATTGGTGGTTTTATCTGTGGGTTCAAATCCACAGATCATTTCAGAATCTTCATTGATCTGTTATCAATCCAGATAATTCTTCTAGCAAATAAACGCGTGTAATTCTCTCTCATTATTAAGTTGAATAAGAGTTTCTTCCATTTAAAATTCTAGTTTTCCACTCCCCAACAAGATGCATAAGCTCAAATTTCTTATGAATCAGCTCCATTTTGGGATGACCATACAGAAATTTGAGATGGTCATACAGAAATTTCCCGACCAAATTGATTCAGCAGGAGGAAACAAGTTGAATACCTTTAGCTTCTGTAAAAAAAATGTAAGATGACAGATTTCTCATTCCTCCTATCAGGTTTCTTAATGTCCTCCTCCCACTCAAACGAAGGAGGAAAAAAACACGATTTAGGTGTACTTGAGGCTTGGGCACCCACAAGGGCATACGATATGTCCGAAGCCATCCCAAAAGATGGAGGTGCAGAGAGCAGATTATGAAACCAATAGGGAGCAAGGAGCGGAGGAAAGCCCCTCTGTGTGTTGTGCTGCAGACGGAAAGAATCAGATAGCGACAGCTAAGAGACGCACCGAGCGTGACTTCTCGAGACGACGACGAACTGCAGAAGCCCGCAGCGAGTGAGAGTCGCTGCGAGTGCCACAACGAGCCTCAAAAGCCGCAGCGAGTGAGAGCCGCTATATCGGGACGACGAAACCTGACGACCCCGAGCTAGACAACCTGTCGAGAGAGTCGAAGCGGGATGACGAAATAGAGCCGCTGTAGAAAGACTGGCGACGAAGACGAAATGGACGAAGACGAGGCAGTTCGACGAAAATGCAGTGAATCAGCAAAACCAGGGATCGCCATAGGCAAACCCTAGCAGAGCAAGGAGGGCGAGGATCGCCATATTCAGTTTAATTTACTATATATAAAGATTTACCTTATATGTTTCTCGGAATCAATCTTCTCTCAGCTTACACAAGTCACCGACTTCTCTTCCCAAGCTGAATATCTTTATATTAGGACCATGATTCAATAAAACTTTCCATTAATTAAATAGACATACCTTCACACACACACACATAATTATTCATAATATAATATATATAAATTTATTTAACATTAAATTTACCTTTATATATTTCAGTCTCTACCCTAACCTCATGCACACGGCTGCACGAGCTCTTTCTTCTCATTTGGTCGATCGGTAAGAGCTAGAACTAATAACAGAACTTTTCCCTCCTTTGTTCTCTGCATAAGCTGCTCACATGAAGCCTCTCTCCTTCGATCTCGATTTGAATCCAAGGCAGCACATGCCTTTCTTCTTCCTCCTCTTCCTCTACATGCACGAGGACATGACACCTACTTTTCCTCTTCCTTTGGTACGACCACAATGTCAAACCTTCCTCCTTTGCTTTGCACGGTGGTAGCGCTCAAAGTTGCTACCTCTTCCCTTCCTCCTTGACCACTCGGCTAGGGCTTGGTGTCGTATCACATGTATGAGACTACGAATTCTTCTTGCTCTTCTCTCTCTCTCTCGCTCTCGCTCTCCGTTTGTTCTCTGTTCGTGTGACAGTTAGGGGTGAAGAGTGATCGAGGGAGGTCTTCCCCTTCCCGACTTCACTTAACAAATCGTCCCAACGATTTGATTCAATATTATTATTATTATTTGATATTATTATTCTCTTATATTTTTATTAAAAATTTAGTTGTTACAATCTTTCATCCTTAAAAAAATTTCGTCATCGAAATATGAAAAACATTAAAATAAAAGAAACATACCTCAATTGAAAGTTTGTAGATTTCTTTCTTGCATCTCAGAGACTTTCTTCCAGATAGCATTTTTTTTTAACACATGCATCCATAAAATCTTCACAAAAGAGATATCTCTGTTTCACAGCACATAATAATTCAGAATTCTTTCAGGCTCCTCAACATAAGTCAAATCAGGCTGAATATCAATTGAGTATGCTATCACTATACTAGATTCATCTGCAATATACTTTCTCGGTGAAGAAATGTGGAAAACATTATGCACTCCCTAAATGTAAGCTGGTAAAACCAATGTAAGCCACTTTCTCAATCCTCCCCACAATCTCAATTGGACCGACATATTCGAGGCTCAATTTTCCTGTCTTCCCAAAACTTTGCATTCCCTTAAGTGGACGGACTTTGATAAAGATAATCTCTCCAACTTCAAACTCAACAAGTTTGCGCTTGGTATCATAATATTTTCTCTGTCTATTGCACTGCCCTCAGTCTTTCTCTAATCAGTATAATCTTCTCAGTAGCATTATCAACTAAATCAGCACCAATGATCTTTCTTTCGCCTATTGCAGCCCAAACTAGAGGTGTCGTGCACTTCCTTCCATGCAAGGCTTCAGTGGAGCCATCCTATTGCTAGCCTAGTAATTGTTGTTATAAGCAAATTCTACTAAAGTTATATGTGATTTTCAACTTCCACCAAATTCAAGGACACATACATTAGTAGATCCCCTAAAGTCTGAATAGTCCTCTCTAACTGATTATCTGTTTTAGGGTGAAATGTTATACTGAAATTTAGCCGTATGTTTAAAGCTTCTTGAATCTTCTTCTATAATCTGGAAGTAAACCTGTCATCTCTGTCAGAAAAAATAGACTTTGACACCCCATGCAACCTCACAATTTGATCTACATATAATTTGACTAGTTTTTCAACTAGATTTGTCTGTCTAATAGGCAGGAAATGGGCAGACTTAAGCTGTCTATCGATAATTACTCAAATAAGCATCAAGACCCTGACGTGATCTCAGCAAACCAATAACAAACTCTATCGCAATCTCTTCTCATTTCCACTCTGGAATTGGTAAAGGTTGCAACTGACCTCCAAAATGTTGATAATCTGCCTTCACCAGCTGACATGAAGGACACTTAGCCACAAATTCTGTCACATTCTCTTCAATCCTGGCCACCAAAATGCTTCTTTAAGATCCTAGTATATTTTATTACTTTCTGGGTGAATAGTATAGCCGGATAAATGTGCTTCCTCCAGAATTTTCTTCCTTAGATCATTAACATCTAGAACATAACCCTGTCTTCATACCTCAATAGATCATCCTGATCTAGTTCATATTTTCTAAACTATCTATTTTAACCTGCTCCAGAACTTTCTGAATACTGTTATATCTAGCTAAAAAATCTCCAATTCTATCCTTCAAATTTGATTGAGGCTTACTATCATCAGCATATTCAACTGATATAATTGAGGCTTACTAGCATCACCATATTCAACTATAGTCAGCTTCAACTTCTACGTATCTTTAATTAACTACTCCTGTTGCGTAAATAAATAGTTCAAATTATTTGAAGTTATTTTCTTCAGCACATCTGCCACCACATTTGTCTTTCCCAGGATGATACTGAATATTTAAATCATATTCTTTAATAAATTTCAGCCATCTCATTTGCCTCAGATTTAGTTCTTTCTTAGTAAAAATATACTCCAAACTCTGATGGTCAGTAAAAACTTCGCATCTAATTCTATACAGATAATGCCTCAATATCTTGAGTATAAATACAATTGCAATAAATTTTGAGTCATGTGCGGGATAGTTTTTTTCATGATTCTTCGATTTTCGTGATGCATTTGCAATGATCTTATCATGATGCATAAGAACACAACCCAAACCCCTCAAAGATGTCTCACTGAAAAATCTAAAACCCATCAGAATCTGAAGGAATGACTAATACTGGAGCGGAAATTAAAAAGTATTTAGTTTTTGAAAATCCTCCTCGCAACGATCAGACCATTCAAACTTCACCGCCTTCTGAGTCAACCTTGATAGTGGCATATCAATTTGTGAAAATCCCTAAAAAGACCTCATGTAATAACCAGCCAAACCTAGCACGTACATCCACCCTTGCTAAGCGTACGATGAACTAATGGCGATTATTAGGGTATCAATTTAAATTGCAAAATTTTAGAGGGTGCAAAATTCTAAATGGTGCAATTCTCCCCTTTTAATGCGCGTACATCCACCCCTGCTAAACGTACGATGAACTAATGACGCTTTAAGAATGATCCAATTTAATGCAGCCAATTCAAATTCCTAGGCTGTGTATTTGTTCATGATTGACATAAGCTTAGCAGCACACCAAATTTTCATTAAGAATGTAACAAACTTACTAATCTTGCAAAAACACGATTGTAGTTAGGATATGGTTGTTATGGACAAATAAAAAAACGTGAAACACAATTGGCACGGTCAAGTTAACATCCTTAGTTTAAAATACGCCAATTAAGCACATTGTCAAAGAAAAATGTGTAAATCTCATGCAACTAGTGTACCATGTTGACCTGTCTTAGAGTTGAACTTAAACCAGCTAGCCAAGGTCCTGTTCAGGCCAGGTATGAGACTTTGTAATATTTTATTAATCACAGTTCTTTGGTTTTTAAGACTGAATGCTCGCTACATAGGATGACAATAATTAAAATTGCTGATATAAAATGTCTAAGTTAAATCTTTTTCCTATATGTCGAGACAATTCTCACCATTTCTTCATCGAAGAATGTATAAATTTGGATGTTTTTTAAAATTGCTTGCTATATTGCAAAACATTGAAGCTTTAAGCTGAACTTCAGCTTTCTCTGAGATGGACACGAAAGCATGTTTGATGCCCCATGATCCGGAACATAGACAAACATTTTCTGCTTTTTTAGGTTTGGTTCAGTCATAGTTGGGGCAATTCGTTCGAAGGCATCTGGAAAACCAAAGGATAATGATCCAAGTAAAAGTTCTTTGGATAAGAAAAAACACCAGAGAGGCTCATTTTCTTTTCAGGGTGGAATGCAGGTATTGTCTTCTGCCGTTTGCTTTCTCAATCTCTGCATCTTTTCTGAATAACTAATATGTCACCTAGCATTGTAAATTATGACGGCATGATTTTTTTCTGATTATTTGATAGGCGGTCGAGTTTTGTGCAGAGTTTTGTTAGCCGTCAGGCACAAAAATCATTCATATGTTTTGCTGCAGACTTATGTTGAACATGAGAAACGGCTTATTCCTTCCGCTACTGATCCAATCTTGATTCATAGTGGAAACGTTTTCCGGAACATAGAGGCTCTTGTTGCTACTTTGAAAGATTACCAATATGCATCATATCATATTGACTATTGTACTGTGCTGAGCATGAAATTTAATACGTCCTACTGTCAAACTTAAACTATTAATGTAAACCCTAATGGTCTTTCCCTTATACTGACTTTTTTAATAATGCATGTTAGAGTTCTGATTTTTTAATGGGGGCATTTTACATACCAGCCAATTCTTTTATATTTACATATCGAAAAACCTAAACTTGCATGTTTGCATATATATTGCACTGAAATCTTTAACATTACATCAAAAATACCACTCCTTTTAAAAGTAAAATACACTTTTTCAACATAGGTTTATGACATCAGTGTGTTACAAAATTTAAATAGTAAAATTTAGGTGCTAGATATGTAAATTCATTAACTGTGTGGTAAGTATGTAAATTTCCCTAAATTTAATCTAATAATACAAAAATCTTCATACAAATCAACGACTGGGAACAAAATTTATTAAAGTTTCATATCTAGAATGTTTTTTTTATTTTTAATCTCTACTGTGGGGTTGGTTGATGCAGAAATGATCTAATCCGTTAATTTATCTTGAGTATCGTACACCAAGTAGTTTCTCTCAGTGGCATCTAATGTTTGTTAGAAGTTCTTACATGTATGTTTTTGCTTTGTAGACACTTACGAATATGCTATGCTCCAAGATTGGTGGGGAAAGTTTGAAACTGAACTCCAAAGTGTTATCATTATCTTATCACTCAGATGGAGATTCTCTATCCAATGATTGGTCGATTTCCTATGCTGCAAACCATGTTAATGGCTCGGATATTATTCAAAACCAATTATTTGATGCTATTATAATGACGGTAATTAATCTTGCTATATATTCGTGACGGTTAGTTTTATTTTAATATGTTCAATATCTTATAAACCTTAACAGATTGATTCCTTGGGTATACTTTTTTATTATCATGTTTAAATTTTTATAATTTGTTCACCTATTTAAATTTATAAATTAACAAACTGATAATTAAATAACAAAAAGTAATGTATTCTGACCTATTATTCAAAGATGGTGAGAGATTGTTTTTTTTTTCTTTTTTTAGGCTCCATTATGTGATGTTCAAGAGATGAAATTCAATGCAAGAGGAAATCCTTTCAACCTTAATTTCATCCCCAAGGTGTTTTTCTTTGTATTAATTCTTACACTGTTGATGAAAAGGTATCAAGTGAAAAAAAGAGTTGAATATTAACACGATTAACCCTGAGAACAGTCGCAATTGGCGCTTATATATAAAATCATTTGTCATTGCCGTCTTTATTTGAAGGCTGGTTTTCAGTTTCAACAAAAGGTTTTTGCTCAGATTATCACTGCCATTTCTATGCAGGTGGACTATGTACCGTTATCGGTCGTGATCACATCCTTTAAAAGGGAGTGTGTGAAAAAGCCCTTGGAAGGATTTGGAGTTCTTGTGCCTTCCAAAGAACAAGAAAATGGCTTGAAGACGCTTGGTAATAAATGGATTCCAGATAAAATATTATCTCAGCTTTTTTTTCTCCTTTTTTTTTTCTCTCTATCTAGTGATTGTGGGCTAACTTGCCTATTGCCGACTTCTTCTATGATATTAACTTAGAAAGTTTATTTTTATTGGAGGATTTACATACACCACTCAATTATTATATATTTGCATATCTAACAACTAATTTTAATTTTTACCCATTTTTCCTATGCTTGAAAAGATATATTTCACTTTTTAAAAATTAAAATGGTGGTATTTTTTGTGATATGAAAGATTTAGAGGTGGTATAAATTATAAATGTAAAAAAGCATAATGTGGATGTTAGATATGTAAATACATAGGAATTGGGTGGTATGTATGTAGATCCCCTTTTTTATTCTCTTGTAGGTACTTTATTTTCATCCATGATGTTCCCGGATCGTGCTCCAGCCAATCAGTATTTATACACTACATTTGTCGGGGGAACAAGGAACAGGAACTTAACTGGAGCGTCGTTGTATGAGTGTTTTTTTTTTTTTTTTTTTGTCTTCTGTTTCTGCAAATATTTTCAAATATATCACGCCTCTTATTTTCCTTGATTTAGTTGAAGTGATTATTAATTTTTTGCATATTTATGTAGAAGTGAGATACAAGAGGTTGTGACTGCTGACCTTAGGAAGCTTTTGGGTGTAGAAGGTCAACCAACATTCATGAGGTATGGAGAATTTTCATTGTGGTCTTCATTTTAACTTTACATAAATGGTATGAATATCTTTCTTAAGTTGACCCTTTACTTCATGATCTTTTGTGTTTCTATTGAGTAAATTTGATGATGAGAAAATTATTTAAATGGTTCGCTTACTCTTTGTCGGCGTCCAAATTGTCTTAGCGTTTATAAAACTATCAATTTAATCCCCAAACTCTATCAATGAGGGCTAAAATAGTCTTCCCTAGGGATTATTTATGAAATTTTTAAAATTGACTTATTAACAAAACTTTCTAACCAATCGGCATTAAAAAAAATTTAAATCGACAAAATTGGCAGGTCAACTATCGATTTTGACTGGACTTTGGTTAAAATTGGTAGCATACCTACCGATTTTGGCTCATTATTGCCTCAATTATGAGGTCGTTGGCTAGTAATGATGATAGTAATCAACAATATTAATAATAATAACGGTAACAATAAAAAAAAATATAATACTACTAATAATAATATTTTTAATATTATTATTTTTAAAGAATTAAAAAAACAAAATTAATAACAACAATAACATTAATAATAATGATAATATAGAAAAAATTAAAAAAAAAATTAAAATAATTATAAAGAATAAAACGACATCAATAATAGTAACAATTAAAAATAATAATAATAATTTAAAATAGTAATGATAATAATAATAGTAATATTAATAGTAATAATAATATTATTTATAAAAAAAATAAAAAATAATATTATAATTTTTTTGTAGTTATAATTTTAGTAATAATAGAAATAATAATTATAATTATCCTATTTATAGTAAAAATATGGTGATAATATAATAATCTCAATATTATCCATATTATTAAAAAACTTTAGAGAAATTCAAAACTTAAAATAATATTAAAAAACTAGTTACTATCATTAATATTAATAATGTCAATAACATTAATTTTGTTAATAATATTACCTATATCTTTGTGAGTGCGCATATTGTTGTACTTTTCTATAGAACTTCTTAATAGTTTGTGATTTATGTATACAATTTCTCAAATTTATTTTTTTTTAAATGAACTCTAGTACTATATAATTGTCAGTATATGTATGAACTATATTTTAACATTATTTAATAATGTTTTAAACCTTGTTCAATGAAAGTGACATTTGTGAGAAACAATAATTAATTATCAAAACTTGTTCAAGTCATGCTCAAATTCTTTTGAGAATGCTTGTAGGATTACAACAACAACATTCTTTTTCTCCATTGCGTCCTATTTAGTGTCATATTTTCATTTATTTCTAATAAATTAAGATCATTTTTTATACAACATGCCCAAGTCTTCCTTGGTCTACCTTTGCCTTTCTTAACATAAGTCGGATCTAAAACATCTACTCTTCTAATTGGATCTTCAGATGGTCGACATTTAAAAATGAATAAATGACGCATACTATTATGAAAATAAAGATATTGATATGAAGAAGGATAAAAATATCCTGAAATAAGTATATTGGAAGGAAAGTCTAGAAAGCATGGCTACTGGCTCGAAGGAGGTTTTGATCCCATATCTCTTGTATAACAACGAAAAATACTATTCAATCTAAATTAACTAGTTAAATAATAATAACTCGATAAACGTCAACTTAGAACTCAACAACAAACAAAAAAATCATGCATAATTATATTTTTCACAGCCATTGTGACTCAATCACATAATTATTATATAGATTGATCAGTCAACATTTTTTAACATTTATGTTGTTATGCAATGGTGAATTAGTTATTGCTAATAACTTCAACTCGAACTACTGAAGAGGTCGTTGTCAAACTCTGTATGTTTCGACATAGTCAACATTTGAACAGTTATGCTATAGATGGTGATCCTAGGACGCAAATTATTGGTCAAGGTTTTGTGGCAACTCTAGTAGAAGATGATGAATTTACATAGTGTGTACTACAAGGGGCCCAACAATAAACCTTGACACTATGCAAAAATTGAGAGATACGGTGTTGTTCCTCAGAGCAATATTCAAATGCTCCTTGAAAGTACAACAAATCCTTCATAATACGTAGCTCATGATTACATTGATTTTCAACAAAAAATTTGATGAATTATCAAGCTTACAGATTACTATATTTCACTTCACCATAAAAAAGTGCATTGCATAGAATGTTTTAACTAATCCTTAAGTTAAATTGTAAATCTCTTTGTCTTGGTATACATTTTTGTTTTGAGTAAGTCATCATCCAAGCATACATATTGATAATCTCAAAGCACTCGAGAGACGAAGGATATGAGGTTTTGATCTCATTTCTCTCTTATAACGACACATACTATTCAATCAAAATTAACTAGTTAATAATAATAATATCTCGATAAACAAAAGCTTAAAATTCAACAACAAACAAAAAATCAAGAATAGTTATTTTTTTCGCTGCAATCGTGACCCAGTCACATAATTATTATGTAGATTAATTAGTCAAAATAAGTCAGCAATTTTTAACATTTAAGTTATTCTACGACTGTGGAGTAGTTATTGCTAATAGCTTCAACTTGAGCTTCTTAGGAGTTCTTCGTCAAACTCTGTGTGTTTCGACATAGTCAACATTTGAACAGTTATGTCGTAGAATGCTTCATGCTCTGAATGATGATCCTAGGGCGTACATCATATCGGTAATATGTGGATGTCATATCGGTCAAGATTTGTTTTAACTCCAATAGAAGACGACGAATTCACATAGAATAACCTTGACACTACACAAAAATTGAGAGATACGGTGTTGTTTCTCAGAGCAATTTTCAAATGCTCCTTGAAAGTACAAGTCCATAATTTGCGTCTCGTGATTACATTGATTTTTTGCGGCAAATTTGATGAATTATCAAGCTTACAGGTTACTATATTTCATTTCACCATAAAAAATGCATTCCCTTGATTGTTTTAACTAATCTCAAAGTTAAATTTATAAATCTCTCAGTCTTGGTAGACAATTCTGTTTTGAGTTGATTCATCATTCTGGCATACATATTGATGATAAAGCGTGAAATGATACTCAAATTACTCATAAGAGGAAGGATATAAGAGGTTTTGATCTCATTTCTCAGTATAATCACGACACATACTATTCAATCCAAATTAACTAGTCAATAATAATAACAACTCGATAAACCTCTTAGAACTTAACAGCAAATTAAAAAATCAAGCATAGTTATATTTTCCACAGCTATTGTGACTCATTCACATAGTTATTATATAGATTGATCTGTCAACATGAGTCAGCAATTTTTAACATTTATGCTATTCTACGATAGTGAATTAGTTGTTTCTAAAAACCTTAACCCGAACTACTTAGGAGGTCATCGTCGACCTCTGTGTGTTCCTCCATAATCAACACATGAACAATTATGTCTTAGAGTGCTTCATGCTCTGAATGGTGATCATAGGACACAGTATCGATCATATGCGGATGTCATATCGGTCAATTGTTTGTTGCAACTCCATTAGAAGATGACGAATTCACAGTGTGTACTACAAGTGGCCCATCAATAAACATTGACACTCTATGCAAAATTGAGAGATACGATGTTGTTCCTCATAGCAATATTTAAATGTTCTTTGAAATTGCAGCAGGTCCTTTAGATATGTGGCTTGTGATTACACAGATTTTTCAGCAACAAATTTGATGAATTATCAAGCTTATAGGTTACTATATTTCACTTTACCATAAAAAAGTGCATTGCATTGAATTTTTTTAACTAATTTTGAAGTTAAATTTATAAATCTCTCAATATTGGTAGACTTTCTTGTTTTGAGCCAAGCCATCATTCGGGCATACATATTGATGATAAAGCGTAAGATGATACTCATATTATTCAGGAGTGGAAGAATATGAGACAATCAATAATGACACAAGTGATAACTCTCATAGTATATGTGGTATCAGAGTAGATACACCAGTGGAGACATATATGTCTGAGATTTTGGGTTATTACTTGATTAGGAAGCATTCCGTGAACAATGCACACATATTTGATGTTATGCAATATAATAATTGTTATATTCGAGCTTACTGTACAAGTGAGGAGTGGGATAAGGATATCAATTTCGATGCTACAATATGTCCAATTAACTTCAATGACAAATTTCATATATCATGTCCAATTAACATTATGTATGATTTTCGCCACAAAAGCAAACTTACATTGTGCAGTCAATGGTTGGTGCATAGCTAACATAGAATATTGAATTTTAAATTCTAACAAATCTAGACTAAGTATGATGTTTTTGCATCATGACCGTCCATCTAGACCATTCAATGGCATTTACATGCAGCTAGGAGCAAGAAGCTTTTCAGAGTGTGGAAGATATCGTCTATCACTAGTCATCTCACATGCGCACACAAAATTCTGACTTGTTGAATTTGTCAGTGCACATCTAAATTCATCTATTATCACATTCTTTTCATTTTCAGACGTTAGTTCGATTTGAAGCTTAGATAGAGTATTGCTCATTATGAATATCTTGTATGAAGGAATGAGATGCAAAAAATGAAAGATAGTCAAGTCTATTTTCGACAGTTTGAACGAGTCATTAGTCATTATTCATTGCATAAGTAATGATAGTCAATTACTGTGCAATGTCAGGATCCATCTGTAGGATTCAATCTAAGGGAGCATCTCAGTTTTAGCTTTTTTTTGTGTATGTGGTAGAGGGTGGAGCAGCTGTTGTCCTATATTAAGATTCGATAGCTCATTCTTGTTAGTAAAATATCATGAAATTTTACTCAGCATTGTTAGTGTTGATGCGAATAACAGGCTCTACTCGTTGGCATTTTCCATTGTTAAACTTAAGTGCAACGAATTCTGCAAGTGATTTTTACAAAATTTGTTTGAGCTTTCTACCCGTAGTTGGATCACACACAGATTTTTCTTATAATCTCATATCACCATCCAAGCATTGTCCTTTGATGTATAAAAATTTTCTCGTGAACGACACAAATTCTACTCAAGATT